AGGCTCTATGAGACCAGCAAACCTGGTATCCCTTTTTGTTAAAAGGTTTATTAATTGGTAGACAGTTAACAAGCTATCAAGGGTCTTCAATATCTTGAACACTATGGTGCTTTGATAAAGGATAAAAATTTCCTAGAAACTTTAATCCTTGCCCTCCAAGGTCTGAAACTCATAAAGTAAATAGTTTGAGAACCATCCCAACTAATACATCAAGAACAAAATTATATAATGCAGATGTAAGAATGAATGCAATTCTTGGCTTGGCTAAATTCCTTGGTAAGAGAGCCATAGGCATCCCGCCATGGCACCTAGCCAAAATGGCATGATTCCAAAGTTCTACTTCCACAAGAATTGGCAGTAGTGGTTTTCTGTATGGCTTTTACTGAAGAAGAACTTTAAGGCTTTGTCAGTCTTCTTATGTCCCATACCAGTACATGATTCTTCAATAGCCAAATAAAAAAATACCAAGGAAGCTAAGAACAGAATATAGGAAGATAGGGGGAAGCAACCTGCTATGACACTTCACCAAAAAGATATATAGGGAAGCACATGAAAAGATGCTTATCATCATTGTATTAGGGAAAAGCAAATTAAAACCATAGTGTGATTCTACTATACAACCACTCTCCCCCCTCCAAAAAAAAAAAAAAAACAAAAACACCAAAGTCACAGTTGGGTTTCTGAGGTGGTAAATCTTTATGGAAGTGGATTGCCCTATCTTCCTTCCGTGGAACATCTGGTGGGTTTGAACCAACCTTCTGGTTAACAATCAAATGCCTTAGGCACTACATCACCAGAGCTCCTTACACACCCACTGTTGTTGTTGTTATGTGCCCTTGAGTCGGACCTGATTCATAGCGGGCTCCTTGGGTTTCCAAGGCAGTATCACTACAGAAGGAGATTGCCCCATCTTCCTTCTGAGGAGTGGCTTGTGGGTTTGAACCACCAGCAATCTGGTTAGCAGTCAAGTACCTTAGGTACTGCGCTACTACACACCCACTAGAATGACTAAAATAAAAAAGGAAGGCAATACCAAATGTTGAAGTGGATATGAAGCAAATAAAACTCTCATACACTGCTGGAGGGAATGAAAAATGGTATAACCACATTGGAAAACAGTTTAACAATTTCTTTAAAAGTAAGACATATGATTGCCGTAAACCCACTGCCAAAAACCCTCTGCAATTGAATAGATTCCAACCCATAGTGACAACCTACAGGACACAGTAGAACTGCCCCATAGGTTTCCAAGGCTGTAAATTCTTTATAGAAGCAGATTGCCTCATCTTTCTCCCACAGAACAGCTGGTGGATTTGAACTGCCAACCTTTTGGTTAATAGCTCAGTGCTTTAACCACTCCACTAACCAGAACTCTTTACAATTGTCATGCAACTCAGCAATTCCACTCCTAGATGAAATGAAAGCATATGTCCACACAAAGTCCTGAACACTCAGCTTTATGGATAATATCCCAGTAATGTGAACAACCCAGATGCGCCCACCAACA